AAAAGACAAGATCTATCATCAAATTTATTGAATTAATTACACATGTCATCTCAAAGTTAAATCTTTCCTCCATGCTAATTAGTTCAGAGTTGAAAAACTAATAAAATTTTGATCAATTCTAGAAATTTGAATCAAGAAAGAATATATTTTTTTTCTTTTGATAAAATTGAGCAGGATAATAATTAAGAAACAAAAGATGGTCGGTAAATTCAGAACCAAGAAAATAGATTAAATTAGAAAATGAGATTTGAAAAAAATCAAACTCACCATCACATAATTTGGGTCCTACATAGTACGAAACTTAATGAGCAAAACTGAATTGAATAAAAATGAGAAAGTGAATCGATATCCTCTTCGTCGTGTTTATATTCCTCTTGGACGCTGAGTTATTCACTTAATAGTTGGATTGAATAAAGAAGCACAATAGTGTAAATATACATGTAGAATACATAATGTAATTTATAATATTTTTGATAGTTTACCGCATGGGAGCAGATTCCCCAAAAAATCTGTGCGAATTTTAAAAAGTTGAGTCATTATCAGTAATGGAATCATAATTAACAGTCAGTCTTTTCCACTACCCTTATATAAATATACAATTAGAATACATAATGTAATTTATAATATTTTTGTATCCCAACAAAATTATGTAATGTCTGTTATTGAGCACATATAAGTTGAATATTATAATCGAGATTGATTAAATGAAGGTAATAATTATCCATAATTGTTATCTTTCACATTTTCAATGTTATCGGTTCGTCCTTTGAGTTTGCATATCTTTTAATTTGCACTTTATATAAGTAAGATGCCAAAATGTAAAGTTATTTGGTTCTTTTCCTTTTTCTCCACAACAATCTACTCTTTTTGTTTGTTGTATTTTGCTCACCTCCAGCAAAAATGTTCAAGTAAATATATTTTTTTCGATAAAAAAAAAGAGTGTATTACTGCCGATTGCTACAATTTAATTGCTTATATATTTATGGTCTACGTTGGATGTTTTATTGTATGTTATCTAATTAATTTATTTCTACTTTGTTGGTAATCAATTATGTTTTCAACATATTTGAGGCAGAAAGAGGTCTCCATGTATATATTTGTAGCTTTACCAGAAATGTTTTTTTGCCCATTATTTGTTATAAATGTTCATGAAACCGTCTACTCTTGTTTATGCATATTTTCATCAAGTAACACTTTCTATTTTATTGAACTTTAAGAAATTGTTAGCTTACTTTAATTTTAATTATCATTATTTTATGATATTTGTATTGAACATTTGATAGATGTTAAATGTTAGACATGTTTCATGTTATATATTATAATACAACTATATTTGTATAATATAAATTTTCTTAATAGAGTATATTGAATTATATTTTGTTAAAGATATTTTGTTATATGCTAATTTTTATTTTATTCTTTTTCTGTTATAAGATTATTAATCTTTTTTACTTACTATAATTGTGATATTTATGAAATAAAAGAGTACTAATCTAACTTTCGTTGGATATTTTGTAAATTATAAATCCGTACCTTGAACTGTAATTTTATTGTATAATATAATTCTTTTTAAATAAATTATGTGATAATAAATATAGGATATACGTGCGAAGCAGTCAAAATATCTTATGTTTGAAAGACAAGAAAACAAAAGGAAAAGAAAAATGGCTTCTAAACTATGGTGAAAAATAAACAAGCTTCCATTATTCTTATTAATTATAGTCTTCCAAAATTAATTAGAGATGAACCATAAATAGAAAATAAAGAAAAAAAAATGGACATAATTAGATAAACAGAAGATATGAAAATTACAATAATGCTGAAGTCAATAATATTGGAACTATTCATTGTACTCTCTGTACTCCTTGTTGCACATGGTAGTACTCTACATTTTTTTCCTCTTTGATCGGAAGTTTTGAATTACTCCTTCGTGATTCTATATTTGTCTAGTTTGTATTTTGCACTCTCCTTACAAATTAATTTTTTAATGTTACTTTAAAATTTTAAATTCATCCAATAATACTCTAATTAATTTGAATAATAATTACTTAATGATAAGGATAAAATTTAAAAATCATCATATATCATCATATATATATTATTATAAGTGGGAAGCCTCATGTTGCAAAGTTGAATTACCATTTTATCCCTATATTAAATTAAAATATTATAAAATATCTAATTAATTATATATTAAATATGCCTAAATTGCTAAGTTGATTCACTTATTGTTAAAATAAAGTAGGAGAATGAAGAGTTATAAAAATAATTAATTATAAAGTTACGAAAAACTATTCGTTTCTCTATCTGATCAGTTTTAGGTGTAATTTATCATAATGTGTATTAATACCACACCTCCACTATCTCATCATTAATCTTCACACCTTCATAATGTTCCCACACTCTCAAGAAATTAATGGCATGATTATGATACCTTTTGATTTTACTCAATGATGTCCTATAAATTGTGGTATTTGGCATAACAATCTGTACACTTTGAAGAGACTTAGATACACTTTGGAAGAAATAATATTTTTTTTTGTCTATATTTCTATTGTTTTTATCCTTTAGTATTAATATCACTTTTAGCTTCAGTTCATAACACTGATCACTAATTCTCCTTATATTCGTTTGTTGTTTACAGAAAGGAAATGTGTACAAATTGTTAGATCTTCTAATGGAGTTTACAACGAGAGAAGGGATGTTGAAATCTTCCCGGAGGTTGAAATCAATCTTTAAAAGAACAAGTTGGACTTTAAGCAACTTTATTGATAACTATGATCATTTTCATATTCTATGAAATTACATTATTCCTATATTTGTTATTTCCTTCTTCTTTTTTATCAAGATCTGATATTTCAAATCCTTGAATGAATTCTACTATAACGGTTTGTTCATTATGATAATTTATTTTAATATTATGTTGACATTAGATATTATTGTACGAAAATGCTTTGTTTGGGACCTAAAGCCAGTGATTTCTTCATACTTAAAGCTTTGAACATCTAGATTATATATATTGGAAGCTAACCTAAGAAGAACCACATATCGGTTAGAGATGGTTCGTAAATTCAGAACCAAGAAATAGATTAAATGAGAAAATAAGATTTGAATAGAATCAAACTCACCTTCACATAATTTGAGTACTTTATAGTACGAGACTTAATGTTCAATTTTGACAATTCAAATTTGCTACTTATCAATAAAGACGAGAATGACTTCTAAATTTCAACAATATGGACTATTCGAGTTTTAAATCAACTAGTTTCTGGACACGTGTGTTGCACGTGAGTCCTTAGTTACTTTTTATAGATCTATTAGAACAGTTAAAATTAGGGGTGGGCATTCAATAGTTTGGTTCAATTTTGATTTTTTGGATCATATGACTGAAAATGAGTGTTGATGTGTAAATGTTGAAACTGATTCTGTCTACTTTCTTCAGAACCAATAAGACCAGTTCAGCTGATACCACTGCCCTGTAGTGACATCAAACTTCCATCTCGATTACTATTAAGAATATGATCGCTTGCAATTGAGTTCCGCATATGTATCTGAATTCACAACGATAGTCCCGTTGTAATTTAAAATGAAACGCCAAGTTGGTTCATTGACAAAGTTGGTATGCAATTTTTTCCTTATAACAACAAACAATCCAGAATCAAACTTCAACTACTCTCTCTGTATAATATATCAGGTGAATATCTTTACCAGTACATAAGTCGATATTATGCCAATCTACTTTGTTCAAATGATGATTTGTTCTGTTTTCTCCTTCGGTACTTTGTTTTTGTTAAGCAAGTTCTTCAAACATGTTAGCTTATCAGGATCCTTTATCGGGTGATGAGCTTCTCTCAGATTCATTGAAATATTCTCGTATGGCTTCCCGTCAAGTCGTTAATGTGTGTCAATTGCATTTCCACATTCTGTAATTCTCTTGTATCGGAATCAGATTTTGTGGATATCCATAGTTGTCATTCTATGACGCGTCTTGGTGGAACAAAATTCTTTCTCCATGAAAGGAAAGCTTTTTATGTCTGTGAGCAAAAGGAATATAAAAATATCTCTGCCTCCCTTTTATCAGACTGAGAAATTTATTGAACATGACCCAGCATATTATTCTCGTTTGAAATGCGCTAATAGTTTATTTTGCGTTTGGGAACCATTATCTATACAACTTGGTGCGATTTGCATTGTAAGTCATTCCCAGCCTAGTGTTTGCATTGCCGGAGTTATTTATCAGTTTGTTAAGGTTCTGGAACGTGCTATAGCTGCATTTGATGTTGTTATGGGAAGATTGTATTCTCCGTAAACTTAAAGTCATGTGTTTTATATTGGTGTTATGGTGTCATTAGAAAGAGCTGGAGATTGAAGGGGCTTTCTGAGGAGACACACGTCCAAGGCATTTATAGTTATGTGGAGGCTTTAGATCGTAGGATTCAGTTAAGAGTCTCATATAGTAAGATGGTATATGATTGTGAGTTTCGGTTTATGGGATTTGTTAATTTTACAAAATTCTTTATAAAATAGAGGAACCAACACGAGAATTTGGAATTGTTTTAGTATTTTTTATGTGCTTTCTATTGTTATTCCAGTTTTCTAGCAAATCGTCTCTAGTTTTCTACTGTTATTCCAGTTTCCCTTTTGATCTCTTTGCATTCTATGAAATTCTATTGTTTTTCCTTGCAATTGAATTTGTTGAATCACAACAGAAGAAAACTGGAACTTATAAAATGTAACAAACACTTTACGAAACATCACAAACTATGAAATTAAAAGCTTTTATTCTCATCCCAGCAATGCAGTGGACTTGAATCCTGCAAATTTCAAAAATGAAGAATTAAAGTTAAAATCTTTAAGGATGAAGGAGGTAGAAAATTTATGAATATAAATTAAATTGAATACCTGGAGGTTACATACTAATGTCTTTTCTTGTGCTTTTTCATTCTCGTAAGAATTTTGTGTTCCAATTCTACATTCATCCTCGAAAACCATGCTGGATATTAAGTTGACAACATTATGTATATTATGGACAGTCCGATAACAAGTCCACAACCATAACCCATGAAAACCGCCTTCCAACTTATAATTGAGGAATCTCCTTCTTCTTCTTGATCTAGCCCATTTGGAGTTGTTGCTTGAGGTACCCCTTCATTACCGCCACAATCTTTTGAGAGTGGCAATCCACGTAACCCATCATTCCCTTGGTATGAACTATTCTCAAACGTATCAAATTGTTTTCCTTTGGGGATGCATCCAACAAGATGATTGTGAGAGAGATTTAAAACTTCAAGTGATGTGAGGGATGCAAGCTGTTGTGGAATTTCTCCGCCGATTTCGTTGGATGAGAGATCCAATGATTCAAGTACAGATAATTGGTTCAGCGATGCTGGTATAATACCTTCCAAGCAATTATGAGATAAGTTTAACCTACGAAGACCAATGAGATCTCCAATAATGCTTGGGATATGACCTTCAAATTTGTTGTTAGAGAGATTTATGATTATGTTTGTAGTCAAAACTCGAGGAAATTGAAGCTCCAGTCCTTTTGTTGTCACTATAAAGGAATTTGAGTAAAAATCAGAAAAATAATCTGCTACATACTCACGGGTTCCATTTTTCTCACCAATTATTTTCATGGCTTCAAAATTCTCGAAAAGGCTCACTGGTAAATCTCCACTAAATCCATTGGATGAGAGATCTATGATTCGAATTTGAGCAAACAAGTTGTCAGTCCTTGAATCTTTTATAGGGCCATAAAACTTATTTGATCTCAAGTTTAATAGCTGCAACTCAGGTAGGGCTCCCAACCATTCAGGAAATGTGTCATTCAATTCATTGTTACCTAAGTCGAGAACTTTCAAATATTTGCAATTGATAAAAGATTGCGGGACTTTCCCCTCTAGCTTATTCCCGTCAAATTTAATGACTCCAAGATAATTTCCTATACTAAAATTTGTATTTAATGTCCCACTAAGACTATTGTTGCTTAAATCCAAAATCCGAAGGATACTTATCTCACCCAAACATAGTGGGATTGTTCCCTCCAAACTATTGCTGCCCAAATCTAGCACCATCAGTACTCGATTGCAGATGGTTGATGTGATCTGTCCACTGAGATTATTTTGTGAAAGGAGAAGATAGTGCAGGATTTGCTGGTCTAGGAATGACTTTGGAATAGGACCTTCCAGCTGATTTTGTTTGAGAGAAACAACAAACAATGATTGGTACTTGAACTCCTGAATTTTTCCACTTAAACAGTTATCACTCAAGTCTAACAAATATAGTGAAGGGAGGGAGAATATCCAGGAAGGTATAGTCCCATTTAAGTGGTTTGATGACAAGTTGAGACTTTGTAGGTTTTGCATACCCACTTACATTAGAAGGAATTGAACCTGTTATTAGGGAATTAAATGAAAAATCTAGCTCAACAAGTTGCGTCCATGTGTTTAAGGATAAGAACTCAAGTTGGCCATTAAAGTTGTTATTTCCTATTGATAACGACTTGAGCTTTCCAAATCTAAAGAAATTGGAAATTGGTCTTTCAAGATGGTTATAAGCAAGAACCAAAGTCTCTATATTGGTGAGATTCCATAGAGGTTTAGGAATAGACCCCGAGAGATTACAAGAAAACAAATCTAATTTACGCAGTGAAGTTAGATGACCAAATGATTCAGGTATCCTACCAGTAGCATTCACATTACTAAGATATAACTCCATGAGTGATGTACTGCTATTCCATTTGGTTGTGGGAAACCTAACAGTGAGCTGGGGATTGAATGATAAATCAAGAGATTCTAAGTTGGAAAGGTGAAAAACAGTTTCAGGCAATATCCCGTATATCTGCGTGTCTGAAAGTCGTAGATTTGTTAAATAAGAAGAGAATTTCAGAGGAATGGTGGAAGAGATGTTCACAAAGCTAAGGTGGAGCTCTCTTAATCAGGTCAAGTTCTTAAGGAGCAGTTCAAAATTGTGAGGTCCGAATCTAAGACCATCCAAATAACTCTGGATACGAAGAACGTGTAATTTAGAAAGACGAGAGATTTCTACTGGGATTAGACCTGTAAAATTTGAATACGACAGATCAAGATGTGTCAAACTAGAAAGCTCACCAAATTTAGGTGAAATGAGCAATTCGGAAAAATGGTTATCAGACAAATCGAGCCTTTTAAGATTGGAGAGTTTAAAGAGGCTACTGTTGTAATGAAACTTGCCTTGAAGTCCGCATCTAGTGAGGTTAAGCTCAATCACTTGTCCCGTCGCCTCGTTACAAAGAACTCCATCCCACGAGCAGCAATCTATGCTCTTGTTCCATGATTGTAATGTCGAATAATCATCTATAGTAAACATGTGCTTGAATTGTAGAAGAGCAAGAGCTTGATCTTTTGGGCACAAATGAGATAAGGATGAGCAGAAAGCAAGTTGACAGAGTAAGGAAAATAGCATTAAAAAAACAAGTTTTACGTAACCCATTTCTGCACTAAAATGTTCAAAACTAATTAAGTTGGTAGATAAGAAATCAAAAATCTTTTCTTTGTTCCTCTATTCAATAATTTAGATGAGGTATATATAGCACAAATTAAGCAAAGAAAATCCTTCAAATTTTTGATTGATTTCTTGGTGTGTAGACCTTGACTTAAAAGGAAAGGATTCACAATGAAAAAAACTATTAAAATCTATAGTTGATATAGAAACAGTAAAAGTTTGATGTTATTTAGGATTTGCCCATGTTATAGTGTGTTATAATATTTTAAAAATAATTCCACTGGACATCAATTTTCTATGAATATAAAAGGAATTCAAATTATATACATTGACAGTATAAAATAATTTTTGGCTATCATGTTGCTTTACCGCCCGTAAAAGGTTACTTGTCATATTTCTTAGATCATTATTCCAAGCTTGTTGTATAAATTTTCCAATGACTCAATCGCATAAATTTCTTTTGTACTCTGAAGTGCCAATGCATAGGAATTAAAGTACTGGAAAAAATTCTCAAGTCAATGCTTGAGTCATTGCAAAGAAAAGTTCAAATAAAAGCTACAACAGAAAAATCCTATCACTTGTAATACAATTTTTTTGATACCTTAGTGGACGAATATGCCACATTCCAAGTCCTAGATATTTATTACAAAGAAAAGTGGCTCACATATATCTCTACTATAACAAAAGTGGATCACATATATTCATACCGTTATAAAAGTTACTCACATATACCTTTTCATCAAAGGAAAGTGAAAAAAATAACAATTCTAATTTATTTTTCTTATATTTAATTTTAGGGCAAAATGGCAAATATACCCCTCAACTTTGCGATTTAGAGCAGATATACTCCTCGTTAAAAAGTGATGCATATATACCACCATCGGCTAACAAATAATGCATATATACCCTTGGTGTCTAATAAATTGTATACATTTACCCTTTTCATTAATAGGCTGAATTTTTTTTAAAAAAAATCTCAAAATTAGTTTATCAGTCAAATTTATTGTTGTGGATCATAAATGTATATTCAAAGTTGTAATCTTTCGTCAATACATACCTATGAATTAATTAATGTACTTATCATCTATCGACGGATGTGATGGATGAATGAACCACAAATTAAACAAAGAAAAATCTACTACTTTGGATGTTCAATCAACTTTCCATATTTCTCATGATTTAGTCAAACGATCATATTATCACAAATCAACAACTTGAATTGCTTCATATAATAGCTGGCCCAGGGAGAAAAGAAAAGTCTGTAAGAATATTAATTGGTGTATAGAGACCACATCAACAACATTTTTCTTAGTAAAAAATTCATACAAGTTTGATTAGCTCTTAAATAGAACAATAATAGCAGGAATGTACATGTAAGCATTTCACCTTTGCAAATGCAAGAAAGAACTAAGATTATAAGAGAAATCAACTAATTTTAACAATACGAGTTTGTTACGAATAACAATATCAAGTTCAATTTAAAATAATCATAGTAGTATGATGGAGCAACAACATCAAAATTGGGAGTCTGAAATTTGTGGGCTATTTGGACATAGAGATAGGGAGCTGACTGCTAAAGCATGATCCAATAATTGGAAAAAATCTCATATTTGTGGTCCTGTTTGTTTGCATAATAATCAAAGTTTGGTAGGTATTTGTAATAAATTTTGGTTGGTGAAGGGTGGTGGTTGAAGTGCTCATATAATTAAATTATTAATAACTTCTTTAATTCACAAAAGAAATAATGATATAAATGTCTATCCTTATTTATTTACTAGTTTTTGGGAAGGTGCGTTGCACGTTTATCCCTTGTAATTACTATAAGATTTCTATATATTTGAAAAAATTGAATTTCAGAATAGAAAATATATGTGTATTGCACGCTACTTAGTATAAATATTTGTAAATGATTTAAATACAATTAAAATATGTATCAATAGTTATTCATAAATTAAGTAATCAATAGAGAAGGAGTGTAACACCGAAATTAAAGCTTAACATCAAATGGACAATCTGACAATCATAGCAAATAGTTTTAAGAAATTGTAAATTTCACATTAGTTATTAGTTATGAAGATCTCATATAATCAATATCCATTACATTATTATAGCATCACAATAAATTATACAACTTCAGACAGTGGCGGAGCTAGAATTCTGTCTAAGGGGTGTCAAAATATAAAGAAATAAAATCGTGTAGAAGTCAAGGAGTGTCACTATGTAATATATATACATAAAAAAATATTTTTATTCTAGCTATTTAATGTAATTTTCCAACGAAGGGGTGTCGGTCGACACCCCTTCACTACATGTGGCTCCGCCACTGACTTCAGATGTACTTTATGTTCATCCCACAAATATTCAAAAATAAGATGAAATAGAGTAGACTAAAAACAATAAAATAGCTAATGGATTCTAAAACTTTTAAATAACAAAAATTAAAGAGAGAAACAGTTCCAGTGTAAAATAACAAAGCATAAATAGATTTACCTCTTTTTTATTGCATATGTGATGAGCAATTACATCCATCAACAATTATACATTAGAATAACTAAGTGTATGCATTAACATAAAGTGACCGTGATGAGCAATGTAATTACATCCACCAATAATCATCCATCAACAATTATACATCGGAATAACTAAGTGTATGCATTAATATAAGTGATTTTTTTTAAAAAAATTGGTATGTATATAATAAGTCAGGAATCATAAAAGTCATATAAAAATTGATGATATACATAACATCTATGAGAATTCGATTGGTTAAAGTTGGATATGTAAAGTTTCTGACTAAAATCTATATATGTGTGCCATTAAGATGTATGGTTATTCAAAGGACATTTTTGTTCTTTAATGCTAAAGAATATTTCAGTTTTTAAAGGATATAATTTACTACCTTTTGTTGTTACGAAACACTTTATCTATCAAACTCCATTTTAGAATGAAAACAAATTAAATATTCCGTGAATTAATTCTACCTGAAAATATAATGAATTACTACCATAAAATTATTATTTAAATTTTTTTAATAATATTTAAATTTAGTGAAGGGGTAAAATCGTAATCCAACTTTGAAGTTAAGATCTTCGCACTTATAATAATACTAGTTTTCGAACACGTGCGTTGCACGTGTATTCCAGGCTAAGTAATAATTTATTAAGATAATATTAGAATAAATGTGTGATGAGTTATATGAACTTTGAAAGGGATAGGTTACCTTTTGTCTGAATTAAACTTCAGAGTCCTTTCATAATCAAATTTAATAGAAATAATTAGTTAAAATGTGTATATATAATATCAAATGTAACATGACAAGCTATTAAGATCAACGTGTTTCATGCGATGCAGCATTACATTAGACAATGCACTTCAAAGTATGAATTAAACCTCTAAAATATAAGTTCATTTACAATATATATATCGTCATATATAACAAAAATTATTTATAGTAATTCATGAAATTACACATTCAAGTGTAACCCAAATTAAAGCTTAATAGCATAAAGACACAACAACTTTACTAATAAACATCACCAGGGGATAAATTACCATAAAATGCATTCTTGACAAAATATCAAAACTATTACTT